TCTCTCTCTCTCTCTTTCTTTCTTTCTTTTCCTTCCCTTCCCTTCCCCTCCTTTCCCCTCCCCTCCCTTCCCTTCCCCTTCTCCTTCCCCTTCCTTCCTTCCTTCCTTCCTTCCTTCCTTCCTTCCTTCCTTCCTTCCTTCCTTCCTTCCTTCCTTCCCTCCTTTCCTTTCTTTCCTTTCTTTCCTTTCTTTCCTTTCTTTCTTGGTATTGATTGCCCTGTTGCCTAGGCTGGTGTGCAGCAGCATGATCATAGCTCACTGCAGCCTGTAACTCCGGGGCTCAAGTTATCCTGCCACTTCAGCCTCCTGAGTAGCTAGGACTACAAGCACTTGACACCGTGCCTAATTTTTAATTTTTTTGTAGAGATAAGGTCTCACTGTCTTGCCCAGGCTGGACTAGAACTCCTGGGCTGAAGTGATTCTCCTGCCTCTGCCTCCCAAAGTGCTGGGATTGTAGGCTTATGCTACCATGCCTGGCCCACATTTTTCATCTTTCTTACTCTGTATAGAAAGTGGGTGCTTTGGACGTGAGTACAGTGTTCATTTTCCCGATGCAAACATTGAGATGCTGGGGAGATCAACAGCAAGCTTCTTGAGGATGGAGGTGTTCTGTCTCCATCCCCACCAGCCCCAGTGCGAGGGTGGGGTCTGTATACAGTAGATGCTCAGTGGTCGTTTGTCAGATCAATTTGTTCCCCATAGTTTACTCCATAGGGAAGCCATTCTTGTTATCCACATCACTGTCATTCTCATTTTAAAAACAAAGAAGGTAAGGTTCAGAGAGATTAGGTAAGTCCAGTGACACAGCGTGAAAAAGGCACAACCAAGACCCAAAGGGTGGCCCCTAACTCCACATGCTGTGCACTGTCTGCGTTGCACTGCCCTGCTGGTAGCCAGCAAGAGGATTCAAATAATGGGTGTGTGTGGATGTGACTGGAAGACAGGGGAGATGGAAGTTCCTGGGCTTGCTGAGAACCTAATGGCGTGTGATATCTGGGAAAGAGCAGGAACCTGGGACTCAGCTTGATCCGCATTGACTCCTAAACTCTGCTTCCTGCTGTCTGCGTGGCCATGGGCTAGACTCGGAACCCCCGGGACGCAGTTTCCTCATCAGCAAAACTGGCATAATAGCATCTTCATCTTAGGTCTGTAACGAGAAGCGAATGTGATCAAAAGATGACGTCTAGTGTGCAGTACGTTCTCGATTCACAGTAGTTTATTTTATTATTATCAGTTTAAACATTTTTGTTGCTGCTGCTATTTGCCTTTAAGCACATAAAACAAAGAATAGATTTCTAAATTGCATCATATGTTACAATAAGTGACCTTTAAGATTATTCAGAGTCTGATCTTTTTGGTAGACATAGGAACAAAAGCAAGGTTCCTTTTTCTGTAACTGCTGTTTTCTAACTTCGAAAAGCTGAGGTGACATATTTCCTAGTATTGTTTCTAAAAATATGAAGCCTGCTTCATTGCACCGTGGTCGGTTGGTTCACTTATTTTGTAAGTGTCAAGTTAGGACTCAGCAAGGGGGAAGAGTCTCCCCCAGCTTTAAAGTCTACCGTCATTGGTCCATGCCTTGCATTGCCCATGTCTTCATTGCCTTGTAATTTTTCTGTTGATGCATTTGTCTCTCCTGCTCCACGGAAGAACCAAGAACTGTTTACCATTGTATCCTCAGAGCCAAGCGCAATCCATAGTACATACCAGCGAGCTCAGTAATATTTTCTCTTTTTCTGAATGAATGAATGAAATGGGGTAGGAGTAAAAGGAGACAAACATAGCACAACATAGATTAGGATCAGTTACTCATTTTCTTTTCTAAGAAATGCGGAGGCAGTGCGACCCTGTGTTAATATATAAATAAGAACATGCAGCTTCACGCTTCTCCTCGCTGAGCCCTGAAATAAGTACAAAGGTGGCAGACAAGATCTAGCTGTGTGGGAGATTCTGTAGAAGGAGGGGATAGGTTTAATTTGGCCTTTTTAGGATGCTGAGTTTATGCCTCCAAGTGTCAGAAGCTACAGATGTCTGCTCCTCTGCAAGGGAAGGGGACCTTGAAGGTGATGTTATTGATGAGCTTTATTTAAAACACAGGCATGTTCAGGAGCTACAAGACTAATTGGGTGTATTAAAATATTTAAATCAAAAGTGCAGCTACTTAGTGCGTGTTGGCAAACATTTTATGTTACGGTTGTAAAAATGATACATGCTCACTATAGAAACTTTAGAAAGATCAATGGAAAGAAGTGATTCCACCACCCAGAGATAGGAGCTGATAGCATTTTGGTGAATATTTTTCTTTTATTTTATATACATGTTATTAATATTTTTACAATGGTTCATTTTATACTTTTTGCCATAAAACCTGCTTTAGAGAAAACAGCAATAAATAGTGAACATTTTCCAGACCAGTATATCTTCTTGTGTGACCTAATTTTAGTGGCTGCTTAGCATTGCTAAGAGGTCCTGATGCTGGGGCATGTCTTGGGCTACTAAGAAAACACCTGATTTTTGTAGCTAATCTTTGTGTAAAACTGTGATTATTTACAGGCAATCAATACTTAGATGTGGGAATGTAGAATCCCAAGTTATATTTAATTTTAAGTGTCATTCTTATTCCCTACTCTCACCAAAGACTTATGGTTTGGGAAAACCTTTGACAGGCCAGTTTGTTAGGTAAAAGATGATATTTTATGTTGTTTGGATTTTAATTTAAAACTATCTTTGGAGGCTGGGCGCGGTGTAATGGCTGTAATCCCAGCACTTTGGGAGGCTGAGGTGGGCGGATCACGAGGTCAGGAGATGGAGACCATCCTGGCCAACAAGGTGAAACCTCGTCTCTACTAAAAATACAAAAATTAGCTGAGTGTGGCGGTACGTGCCTGTAGTCCCAGCTACTCGGGAGGCTGATGCAGGAGAATTGCTTGAACCTGGGAGGCAGAGGTTGCAGTGAGCCAAGATCATGCCACTGAACTCCAGCCTGGGCAACAGAGCTAGATTCCATCCCCCGCCCTACACACACAAAAAATCTTTGGATAGTAATCATTTTCCTTAACACTTTGCAATTCGTTTTTTGTGTTTTGTTTTGCTTCATTTATTTCTGAGGTGGGGGATCTTGCTATGTTGCCCAGGTTGGTCTCAAATTCATAGGCTCAAGCAATTCTCTGCCTCAGCCTCCCAGGTAGCAGGAACTACAGGTGTGCATCACCACGCTCAGCCGTATTCCATTATTTTGGAATTGCTGGTTGGTGCGCTTGTCTTTTCCTTCATAATTTGATGGAACTTTTTAAAATTAGCAATATTAACCCTTTTTCTGCCATATGTGTAGCAATATATTTTTCCCAACCTGTCATTTGCCTTTTAGTTTTAGTTGGTGGTGTTTTCTTAGACATAGCTTCCCTGGATTGTTGACGTAGTTTTGCTTAGGGTAAATTGTTTTTCTGCCCACCTTCATTCCACTGGAAATGGAATGTTTTAAGGGTGAATTTATTATTCTTTGGTGACAAATACCACCAAGTATCCTGTAAAGACAGCTCACCAACGTAAGGCCCAAGCCTGTGCCACATTTTCACCAGCATCACTGTTACCAAATATGTCAACTCTGGCAAGAATAAGAGAAGAAGCCTAACAGATTTTAAGTGGTCTTGACAGCCTTTCAGCAAATCTTTTCTGAGAAGCTCACATCCAAGCATCTGCAAATCAGTCACCCCTCCTTTTAATCTCCATCAAGTTCAGCTCTGGAATTTGCTCCTGTTTGGATAATCCAAGGCAGTGCTATCCAATAAAATCTAGTGTGAGCCATATACACAATTTTAAACGATCTAGTAGCCACATTAAAAAAGATTAATGGTCAGGCGCGATGGCTTATGCCTGTAATCCTAGCACTTTGGGAGGCTGAGGAGGGAGGATCACTTGAGGTCAGGAATTCGAGAGCAACCTGGCCAATATGGTGAAACCCCGTCTCTACTAAAAATACAAAAATTAGCTGGGCATGGTGGCACATGCCTATGGGCTCAGCTACTCGGGAGGCTGAGGCAGGAGAATTGCTTGAACCCAGGAAGCTGAGGTTACAGTGAGCCAAGATTGTGCCACTGCACTCCAGCCTGGGTGTCGCAGTGAGACACTCTTTAAAAAAAAGAAAAAAAAATGGATTAAGAAGAAAGTTAATCAAGTGAAAATTTCAGGAATTAGATGAAATGCTACCAGGAGCTCAGCTGCATTTTCTAGAACTCTTGGCCTAATTTTATTAAGTTCAACTCTGTGATAAGTGCTGGGAATAAAAAAAAAATGTGATGTGGGCTCTGCAAGAAGTGTATTTCGCTGTGATTAAAGCTGATTGTGGGAGAAAATCTTCTGAAACCCTCAGTGACAGCCTTCTCATTGACTAGTGACTCAAACATTAGTGCAAAGTGGAAGATTCTAAATGAGCAGAAGAAGGGTGGATGCCGTAAAGGCAGGGGAACTGGTGAATTTCAGAAATAGTGAGTGTGAATTCAACACTCCTAATCATTTGAATAAAGATCTTGTTATATTCCCCCAAATTAATAAGAAACAGGTGAAATTAATTTTAACAATACATTTAATTCAATTCAATATATCCAAAATATTATCTCAACATGTAATGAACTTAAAAATATTACTAATGAGTTATTTTGTACTCTATTTTCATACTAAGTCCTTAAAATCTGGTGTGTGTTTTACACTTTCAGCACATTTTAATTTGGGCTAACCATGTGTCACATGTGGCCACGGGCTACCTTATGGGACAGTGCAGGTCCCATAATAGTATTCTGACTAAGGGGAAAAATCAGAAATCCCAAGAGATTGTAATTAAGGTAGAAACTTACATTTAGGAGCTCATCCTAAAAACAGGTAAGTACCCTCCTAAGTATGAGAACAGATGGGGGCCACTTGGAGTTTCTTACTCTTAAAATACTTGTCAACATGAGGATTTCAGCTTCCCCAAACCTGTACCAATAGGTATGTGTTATTTTAAGGGCCAGTGGAGACGACACCCACGCCTCACTCAGAACAGAGCCGAGGCTGTTGGAATGCACTGCTCAGGACAGCTTGCACGTGTCCATCACGAGACGAGACTGGCTTCTTCAGGAAAAGCAGCAGCTACAGGTGAGCAGGTGAAAGATCTTCAAGAAATATCATGGCATTTTTCTTTTCATTGAGACGGGGTCTTGCTCTGTTGCCCGGATTGGAGGGCAGTGGCGCAATCATAGCTCATTGCAGCCTCTAGCTCCTGGGTGATTCTCCCACCTCAGCCTCCCAAGTAGCTGGGACTACAGGCATGACCCCCATGTCTGGCTAAATTTTTTAATTTTTAGTAGATATCAGGTCTTAGTATGTTGCTCAGGCTGCTCTTGAACTCCTGGGCTCAAACAGTCCTCCTGCCTCAGTTTCCCAAAGTGTTGGGATTACAGGTATGAGCCACCGTGCCCAGCCGGCATTTTTCTTATCCATTTAAGCCAAATGCAGCCAAGTGGTCTTACTTTCCTTGAGTGTAGCAATTAGAGCCTTGGCTGTCAAGCTGGGGAGTACAAAAAGGAGAGTTGGTGGGAATGACTAGAGGGCTTGTAGGAATCTCATTACAAACGAGGGTTGAAAGCTCAGCAGCGTTTGCGCCTGTTTTCGATATTCCTCATTACCTTTTGAATATGCTTTTCTTGTCTGCCAGGCCAATTTGCCACTTCTTATCATTTTGACCTTTAGAAGCTTCCTTTGAAAGGCAGAAAGACATCTGTGCTGTGAAAATCCTTTATGGAAATTCCTATCATAGTAGTCTATGAGCTGAAGTTGTTAAGAGACAGAGTTGTAAGTCCGGACTGAGCAAGGCAGGCACATCTGGAATGATTAGCCGACTGCGTGGAAGCCCAAAGTTGGCCCAGAACAGAGGATGCAGGCTGGCTAAGGATCATCGAGAGGCTACAAATCTGGGTGCAGCACCGAGTTAAAGCCAGAGCTCTGAAAGTTGACAGGGCACCCGAGAGGCAGGGAATCTTGAAACAGGGTCCGTGCCTGCTTGAGCCTGGAGTTGTGAAGCATGAGTGGGGAGCAATGAGAACGCATTGATTGGAAGCTACGTGACTTCATGGGAAGAGCATAGGTCTTCAACACTCAAGTTCAAATCCTGGCTTAGGGTGGAGGCTTCCCCTCTCTGCTCTGGCCATCGAATATTTTTGTTATCTGAATTTGCCCCATCCAGGTCACTTCAAGAGTAAGGAGGCAAAGGGAGGAAAAAGTCGGCAATTTATTTGAAACCATTTCCTCCATTAACTGAGCACTTACGTAGTCAATGTGTTATACTGTTTGGATAGCTGAAAATGTGAAATCTGGTTTTTCATTTTTAATAACATTTGCCAATTAAAGGTCTACACAATTCCTGAGAAAGTCAGAGTGTAGAGAAAATAATTTTAGCCCTGGGCACTTAGTGTTTGAAGCACTCTGGGAAAGGTACTTGAATATTCATTTATTCGACAGACATTTATTGAGGGTTCACTGAGTGCCAGATACTGTTTGAAATGCTTGAGATTCCTGGGGAGCTTTTGATTTACTAGGGGGTGAGAATGGGGAGATAGACAATAAGTGATAAACATAATAAAACCTCTATTAGATAACTGGTATGTTGTAGGGTGATAAGAGCTTCCCAGAGTAGACTAGGATGATGTGGAGGATGGAGTCTACTCATTGAGAAGTGAGACTGGACCCAGCAGTTGAAAGAGGAGAGGGAGTAGGCCTTGCAGAAATTTCTGCAAGAGGATCCTGCAGGGGGATACCAAGATGAAGCCCTAGAGTGGGAGTGGGCCTCATGTGTTCAGAGGGCAGCTGGAGGCCCCTGTGGCTGGAGCAGTGTAAATGAGGGGGAGGATTTGGGGAGGAAGTCGGAGATAAAGGGGCCTTGTAAGGATTTGGAATTTTCTCAGATTGCAACAGGGAACCATTGGATGCCTTCATTTAGGGAGAGTTTTTTGCCTGTATAATGGCGTTCAGCTGCAGTCAGAGTGTTGCTTTTAGGAACATCTAGAAAGTTTAAAGTAAACAATGCTAAATGTAATTGATCTGACCACATTGTAAATAATTTGACCCTGTATTAGGAATAGGATGTAAGACAATATGGAAAACAGTATGCAGCTTCCTTAAAAGATTAAAAATTGACTCACTGTGTGGTCCAGCCACCCCTGCTTCTGGGTGTGTATATATATCTCTCTCTCAAAAAAAATTGAATGCATAGACTCAAAGAGATGTTTACACACCTATAGACTCATAGCAGCATTATTCACAATAGCCAAAAGCTGATAACAACTCAAGTTCTCATCAACAGATAAGTGATAAACAAAATGTGTATGTACATGTAATGGGATATTACTCAGTCTTGAAAGGAAATTTTGACACATGCTACAGCATGGTTGAACCTTGAGGACATTATGCTAAGTGAAATACGCTGGTCGCAAAAGGATAATGCTGTATGATTCCACTTGTATGAGTTACCTAGAGAAGTCAAATTCATAGAGAAAGTAGAATGGTGATTCCCAGGGACTTGGAGGAAGAGAGAATGGGGAATTAGTTTTCAATGGGTACAGAGTCTCAGTTTTGCAAGATGAAAAGAGTTCTGTGGATGAATGGCAGTGATGGTTGTACAACAATTTGAATGTGCTTAATGCCACTGAACTCTACACTTAAAAATGCTCAAGATATGGCCGGGCGCGGTGGCTCAAGCCTGTAATCCCAGCACTTTGGGAGGCAGAGACGGGTGGATGACGAGGTCAGGAGATTGAGACCATCCTGGCTAACCCGGTGAAACCCTGTCTCTACTAAAAAATACAAAAAAAAAAAACTAGCCGGGCGAGGTGGCGGGCACCTGTAGTCCCAGCTACTCGGGAGGCTGAGGCAGGAGAATGGCGTAAACCCGGGAGGCGGAGCTTGCAGTGAGCCGAGATCCGGCCACTGCACTCCAGCCTGGGCGACAGAGCGAGACTCCGTCTCAAAAAAAAAAAAAAAAAAAAAAAAAAAAAAAAAAAAAAAAATGCTCAAGATGGTGAATTTTATGCTACATGTGTTTTACCAGTTTAAAAAAAAAAAAAACTAAAAGAAAAAGAAAAGAATAGGGTAGAGGAAGTCAAAGGTGGAAGTAGAGAGGTTAGTTGAGAGACTTTGTCAGTAAGACTGTAATCTTGGAGCAATTGGGGACACTGAGGCTTTACTTTTTTCTTAGAATGTCTTGGTAGTAGACATTCTTTAGTAACTCCCAATTCTTCTCCCCACTCCCATACTTGAAGTGGGTTCAGGAGGTAGAAGTTGCGGGTGATGCACCTTGGGGCTGAGAGAACGTGAATACGAAGTTAGAGACACCCAGGATTAGAGTTGTGCTCTTATCAGCATAAAACTTGGGAGTATGTTAATTAAGAGTCTTATTTTTGATTCAGAATCATATGGGCAGTGAGATGATGATCTGCTATAACACTGTGCACACGATGGGCGTTCATTACCTGCTGCTTGTTTAGTTAATTGACCTTAATGTTAAATGATATTTTATGGATTTAGATTTCAGTTTGCTATATTTGCAGAAATTACATTTTTTAGATTGTCATGAACTTTAGGCTGCATGGCACCATCTGCAGCATCTCATTCCTCTCTCAGCCCTGTAGACTTAAGAAGTCATTTTTTACCTTTCTCTCTACTTTGAATTCTTGTGTTTGGGGACAGACTAACAAAGGGTTGCTTGCATTTCTTGTTTTGGTCTGTGGCTGGGGTTACCTGCTTAGCTCAGACCTCAGGTGCGTAAGGCTCCCTGCCCTGTGTCCTAACTCGTCCATCCGAGATGAAGTAAGTCATTTATGTATCTGCTGGGTTCTTCCAAGTCAAATTCTTGGCTCACCCCCCATAGTTATTTAATGCTCGGGAGGGAATGTTTTTCCTTATGCCAACTCATTAGAAATAGAAAGCTGGCATGATTTTTCCAGTTCAGCAAACCTCCAAAAATCTGCCTGCCTCAGAAGGGGAGCTTCCTGGTTCTTGTGCATATGGCCAATTCTCATTTAAACGAGTCATTATCCTCAGAGCAGTTTGCCGTGAGCAGGGTTAATTTATAAAATCTCGACTCCTCATTCTCTATAGAAAGAAATCGAAGCTCTCCAAGCAAGGATGTCGGTGCTGGAAGCCAAAGATCAACAGCTGAGAAGGGAAATAGAGGAGAAAGAGCAACAACTCCGGTGGCAGGGCTGCGACCTGACCCCACTGGTGGGCCGGCTGTCCCTGGGTCAGCTGCGGGAGGTCAGCAAGGCCTTGCAGGACACCCTGGCCTCAGCCGGTCAGATTCCCTTCCATGCAGAGCCACCGGAAACCATAAGGAGGTACTGGTGATTTCCTAACTGATTTTGGGCCACTCACCTCTTTGACCTGTTCATTGGAATGATTTTGTCTAATGCCTTTCATCTCTAAACATTTCCTGAACAGTCTGTGTTTTTCAGTGGAAGCACCATTAGTGTTTTGGGTGGGAAAATTCTTCATGGTGTGGGGCAGTCCTGAGCATTGCAAGTTATTTCACCTCCTGGCCACTCAACCCACTAAATGCCAGCGCTCCTCCCCGTTCCAATATGCACCCTCCCCATTTCCAAACACCCTCCCCATTTCCAAACACCCTCAGGACACCCTGTCTCCCTTTGAGAACTATTGGAGTTCAATGGGCTAAAGATCCTGATGCCAACTTTTGCTGAGGATGATTATCTGGAGAGGGGCGAACTATGCCTCTCACTAAGGGAGGAGGTGAACCACTGAGAGAGGGACAGCCAGTGACAAAGTTTCCATCTGGAAGAATGGATTGTTATTGGCAGCTAAAATGCACTGGGTGCTTACCATGCACCAGGCACTGTTATAAGCTGACTCTATGAGTTACTTCTGTTGTTATATTCATTTTACAGGTGAGGAAAAAAAGTTTAAGAAGGTTATAATTTGCCCAAAGTCCTAATTCATAAGAGAAAAACCTGATATTTACACTCCTGTTGCTTAATTCTGAAACCTGGATCTGCAGAAGTGAAGCATTCGAAAGAAGCCAGTGTAGAGCCAGCTGGCTCAACAGGTCAGAGAGATTGCTTGGTCCAGTATTTTTAACTAACTGGACGTGATCCTGTGAACCTAATTTTTACTATGAAGTATTGGTTGTCTTTTAGAAAATGCTGACTTAGGGAGAATATCCAGTAGTTATATTCAGCCAAATGAACCCATCTTACATACATCAATAGCTACCTTTGTTGTTCATGAGAATAGGCTCTTCTTAGGCCAGATGGGGAGAGTCAGACAAATTGTGAAACAGGAAAACCTTGAAGTCTTATAAAGAGAAGTTGCAGAGACTAGTATTGTTACAAAACCTGGAGAAACAGATCACTCAACATCACGACTGTTATCATCATCTATAAGGATTTTCATAGAGGCCAGATGCAAACTGAGGGTGCCATCTGTTTGTAATTTACTCAACTTTCTAACATGCAGTTGCAAAGGGAAAGATATGCTTTGTTTCGTGGACAATGACCCACGAGCTTGAAAAGAAACTTCCTGATAGCACGTGGCCTTTCTGGATGTGTCACTGGTGGAGACTTACAGTGCTTGCATGGAGGCCATCATTTCTGACTGTGGCTTGTTGGGAACTCCCTGGTCAATGTCAGAGACAGGCTGGAAGTAGAGGGCATGTGCTGGGGTCAAGGACACCCAATGATTTTAGGTTTGGGTGTGATAATAGAAATCAAAGAAGCCATTTGAATTTTCCAATGTCTGTGTTCTGGATCAAATAACTTAGCAGGAGGAGATGAAGTGTTACCATCCCAGAGACATCATAGACACTTTTTGTGTGGAGCCAACAAAAATGGTTTTCTTCCAGTGAACAAAAGGAGAACCCTTTTTAAGCACTGGAGAATCAGAAGCTCCACAGTATGGAAGCTGACAGAGCAGGGGTGCATAAAAGGACAGGAACCAATTAAAAGATACGTTCATTTGAATTTCTTTCATCCCTGGGATTTCAATCCCTCTGCTTTAAAACAAGTTCCTTATTTTCTCCTGCAAGTCTTCCTTTGATGTGAGGGTCTTAGAAGAACCACTTTTACCCAGTGAGCTTGGTTCTCCTCCCACATGAAACCCATGGTTCTTGTTCCACCCCCTCCTGACTGCACTCCCATTCTCTGTAATGGGATTGTGATGTGGGGGTGGGGGAGGGAGGAGAGGGAAAAGATGGGGGACACAGTGTCCAAGGTTTTCTGTGGATCACATCCCGCCGTGTGGGGCGTGAGGTTCCATCTATTTATTTGGCGTAAATTGAGGAGAATGGTGATTTGCAGCTCATCTCTCTCTAGCACCATTAGCTCAGCCTCCCCTGGCTTCTTGTTGGTTTTATGTGTCAGGAAAAGCAGGGGAGGGCAGCCTGTGACCTCATGTGGCATGCATATGGCTAACTGCAAAGTGAGGGAGGAATAATTATGGTAATAATCACAGTGATGACGTGGAGGGCTGCCTAGGATGCTTTCTAACGTTCTTCAGCAATGCTTGACTGGCTTGTATTCATCTGGGGTTGAGTCCTTCATTCCTCAGCTCCTGGGATTTTTCATGCTTCATGTAAAATGTGTTCTGGCAGCTCACGGACGAATTGTCGCTTGTTGTGCATTTGGAAGAAACATGTCACATCTTTTTACAAACCACTGGCACAAAGTGTGAAACAAACTCAACCCCTGGTTACAGCAGGGCTGGCTCGGCCTTGGTTGGAGAATCTGGGAGCCTCGCAGCAGGGCTGGGCTGGGGAGCCTGGTAGGTGGAGAGCAGCCAGGCCTTCTGTGGTGTCCATGTCCCCAACCACTAGCTAAACTGCCCAGGGCTCCCTGGCCAGGGGCAGTAATTATGCAGGGTGCTGCAGGCATCCTCATCACGCCTGTGCTCAGCTCCACACCACGCAGTCCCTGCTGATGTCAGGCCTCCTTGCAAGTGAGATTTGAAATAATGTAATTCACCAGCTCACAACTGAATGGGAAAAAAAATCAATAGTTCCTCTTTCCCCTCAGAAGCATATCATATTAGAGTGAGGAGACACTGAAACAACAAGGCCTGAATTGGAAAACTGATCCGCAATCTAGGATCGTAGTAGAGATTCTCCAAGACGGTTGCCTGGAGGCAGCCGTGTGGGAGAGATCCCATTAATGCTCTTGCCCCAAGGGTAGTGTGAGGCAGCCACCAAACTGCAATAATGCAGAGACTGCAGAGAAAATCCCTGCAGCGTATCAGCAGCCTCCAAGCTGCTTTTCCATTCGTGAAGATTGTTGTTCTTTAATCTCCACTTCTGGGCTTTGCCTTTCTCTCTCCTCTGTCTTTGCCTTCTACCTGATTGGTTTGCCAAGACAATGGCTTTATGGGACTGAGAGCATTAGAAATCATCTGGAGAAAGAGGAGAGCTTTGCATTTTTCCAGAAAATTCTGATTTTTTCCCCCTTTTTTGGTAAGGACTTTTCTTTCTTTTTTAGAGATGGGGTTTCCCTCTGTCCCATAGGCTGGAGTGCAGTGGTATGATCATGGCTCATTAGAGCCTTTTACTCCTGAGCTCAAGTGATCCTCCTGCCTCAGCCTTCCAAGTGCTGGGATTATAAGTGCATGTCGCCATGCCTGGCTAATTTTTTAATTTTTTGTAGAGATGGGGGGGGGGTCTTGCTGTGTTGCCAGGTTGGACTTGAACTCCTGGCCTCAAGTGATCTTTCTACCTCAGCCTCCTGGGTCACTGGGATTACGGGGTTTTTTTTTTTCCCCACCCCCCCTTTTTAAGTAAAGTAGACATCTTGCTTTTCCCAGGAATTCACGAGGCAGATAAATATTTGCCAAGACAGCAAATGCAGTGAGACAGAAGTGTGTGAGCAATGCGGGCCAGATGGGTGCCCGGAGTGAGGCTTCCCTGCATAGGCGACATCTACAGCGTTCAGGACCTCCCTGCAGGTTTGCCCTCTCCACTCAGATTTATCCTGTCTGTCCTTCTTAGTTAGTTTGGTGATGATACTCATACACTAATTTTAATATCTCTGTTATTTACAAACTGTCCTACTTGCTTACAATAACCCTATAAAGTCTGTTGGGCAATATAATGTTTTTATGCCCATTTTGCAGATGAGGTTGCTGAGGGTCCAAGTTCACACAGCTGTAAAAGTGGTGCCCTCATGTCTTTGGCCAATTTTTAATGCAGAGGGAATCCAGAGATGGTTCACACTTATGGCCTGGGAGAGACCAGGCCTTGGACAGAGTGCTTGGTCAAGCAATGGAAAGAAGTCCAGCCTGGCAGAGCATGGGTCTGTAGGCCCAAGGACAAGAGAATGGATGTCCCTCCAGGCCAGGGATGGTTGTCTCTGTGCGCCTAGTGTTGCCTGGTTGCGCCTAGTGTTGCCTGATTGGATTGGAGCCAAGGGGTATCTAAAAATAGGCAGCCTGGGGAGACCAAACAGGCAACTGTCTCAAGTCAGAGAGGTCTGTCAGACTTCCCAAAGAAAGAAATGTGAAAGGAAGAGGAACTGGAAAGCAAGGCTCCGCCCCAGGGCTAGAGGAACTGGTATTACTGTCTGTGAAAAGAGGGTTTGAACTGGATGATGTGGAAGGTCCTTTCTGGTTCTACAATACTTTGCACTTGAGGATTTTGTGAAATAAGTTAAAATAAACTGCCTTAAAATCCCTCATAATTCTATTCCTAGGAGCTCTATGTGAAGTTCCTCTTTGAAGTTCCCTGGGCAGGCTGTGACCATCCACAGGCCACGGTGCTCTAGCTGGCACTTTCCTAAGGGCTGGTCCCTAGAGCAGGGACCTGAGCAAACCTGCTTTCCAACCATGGCTGCTGCTGCTCAGAGCTTAGACCTCGCCTCACCACTGTGTATCCTCCCATTTTCTTCTGGAAAGTCGTCATTACAGGCAATGTGAAAAGTTTACCAAATTATAATCTGGTAAAGGAGCAAGAGGGTTGGAAAAGAAGGAAGAAAATCCCCCCTATCTGGCTGGGTACAGATGCTGCTCACCAGGAAATATCGGTTCCCAAGAAAACAGAACCCCCATTTCCAGTTTTCATTGTGTTGTAAATTAAAAATAAAATCTTAAGCCCGCAAACACTGAACGGATTGCCTCTTGGCCCAGGAGACCCCAGAGACTCCATACAAACTGAGTTCCCAGCCCCAGTGGGCCGGGAGGTTGGATTTGGCTTGTTATAATCCCTCCCTTTTGTAGCTTAGACACAACAACTGACCAGCATCATTGCTAAAACGAGATCATAAGAACTGACAGAACAGTCTCTCGGTGGTAATGAGATACCATATTATAAACAAGACCTAAGGCCATGCCAGGCAGGGATAAG